CTCCGGCCCCACGCCCAGACGCTCACGTGTGGGCCCTGAGCCCCACCCCAGACGCTGTCTGAGGCGCCTGCCGTACCCACTCCATGCACCCGTACCTCCCGTCGGGGCGGCTAGGCTGCTTCCGTTTCTCACCGCTTCGGCCGGGGCTTCAGCCATTCCCCTTTGGCATCATGTTTTTTGTTCACATCTTGGCTGGGTTTCACAAATGGCCAAAGACTATGAGCATCTTGAGGCACCTGATACATCTTACCCCACTCTAAAGCCACCCTGTGAAAGGTCACTGCTGACCTGTCCACGCAGCCCCTGCCTGTCACGGACGCAGCCTCCCCAGCTGAGATCTCTCTTGGAGACTCAGCTGGGTTCGGGGGACTTGGCCCTCAGTAGGTGCCTAGGCAAGTCTCTGAGAGGACAGGGCAGGCACCTCCAGAGGCCAGGTGTGCAGTGAGGGTCTGCTCCCTCTCAGTGCGAAGGAGCTGGCCCAGCTCCCGGATGGTAGGGCTGCTGTCCACGGGGCTGCAGGGCAGGGGGCTGTGCCGTGTCTGGATTCCTGTCCAAGTGCCCTGCAGGAACCCAGCACAGTACGGGCGGCCATGGCATCCCGGCCTGTTCTCGGAGCAGGAGTCAGTACAGCCTTGTCAGGAGCCAAGGCTGGGGAGGGAGTGACCAGGCAGCCTTGCAGCAGGGGCTGCCAGAGGAGCCTGGGTTCTGAGAGGGCAGCTAAGTCGCAGTGGCAGGCGCGGCGGTGGTCCCGACATGGGCTCAGCATCTGTCCAGCACATGCTCTGACCTTAGCTGCTAGTGGGCACCTGGGGAGACGTCCCCCGCAGACCCGGCCAGTCGGAATCTCAGGCGGGACCCAGCCCAGGGAGCCCAAAAGGTTCCCAGTGATTCCAGGGTGTGGCCCACGTGGAAAAATGAGGCCACTGCAGGCAGGCAGGCACCTAGTTCAGGACACTGTGAAGGTCACCTCCTCAGAGCCTTGGCATCGCCCCCAACTAGGTGCCCAGGGCAGGGGGCTTCAGCTGGCAAAGGCCAGGCAGGCCCCGCAGATCCCACACCTGTAGTTTCTGCCCCTCTGACTTGGCTGCAATAACTCGCAGTTTGGGAAGAGAAGAGGCTTCGGGCCGACCCAGTAGTGGCCAGGGCACCCGCCAGCTTTCCTGAGTGTGTGCTGAGTCCCAGACCTAGTCCCCTGTGGAGGTGGCAGACACGGAGACAGCCAGAGCGCAAACTGCACCAGGGTGGGGGCTCCACGAAGGGGGTTGGGACCGTCGGGGGGCACCGAGGAGGTGAGTGGGTGCACAGTGGCTTGGGGAGGCAGGGAGTCTGCATGCTTTGCCCTTCCTGGTCAGGCCCTTTCCGAGGCTTCACCCCAGGGACACCGGCCCCCCCAGCTTAGTGGCTGTGGACTCCCTCTGGAAGGCAGGCGCTGGGAAGGGAGCTGTGGCAGTGTGTCACCTGAGTCCCACATGTTGGGGGGCCAGGCGGTGACTCACTAGGCTGAAGCCAGGAACCTGGGAGACGGGAGGCACTGCCCATGCCATCCCCAGCACCCGGGTCCCTTAAAACAGTAGTGATCAAATGTCCCTAGCATTCAAGAAACTCGTGGGCAAACCCCCACACTGCCTGCTCTGGGAAACGCTCCCTGGTTGGGAGTGCTGCCCAGAGGCAGGGCACAGGAGCCGGCTCCCGCCCAGCCGACTGGGAGCGGCCCGTGCTCTGGCCCTGTCCCGTGACTGGCAGCTTCTGGGGCAGCACAGGTTGCATTGCTGCCTTTCCCCGTGCCCTTGGGGTGACAGGTCATGAAAACCTCACTCTTCGAGCTGTCTGGGGCCTGGCCCCGGGGTGGCCGGGTGGGGCCCGTGGGCTGGGCCGGCGGCTGCCACGCACAGCTGCCCACCTTGGGCATCCTTACCTGGTCCCCTGAGGACGAGACGGGCTCTCTGAGTGCGCTGGAGCCTGCTCGTCCAGCTGTAGCGACAGGCGGAGGTGCCCGACCAGCCGGGCATCTGTGGCTGTGTTCTCAGTGCTGAGAGGACACTCTCCTGTACCTGGCGTCTCTCCACCCTTCACTCTGAGGGTACACTGTCCCTGCCTCATGGCCGGAGGTCACAGTGGGCTGGCGCTGGAGCTGGGTCCTTCCAGCCCAGCACACCACGCTGGTGCCCCACGGAACGCCACGGCCGGCTCACCTGTGGCCAGGTGCTAGAGCCCGCTGGGCTGCAGCCCACCCTGGGTGGCGAAGGCTCCAGGGCTCAGGGGCTGCTCCCCGCTCCTTGAACCTGGGGACTCCGCGCGGTATCTATTCCAGTCAGCTAGAGATCTTGGAGCTGAGCGATACGCATTAGGGTGCTAGGACAGAGCACCCCGCCCTGGTGGGCACTTGCACAGCCATGCGGCTCTGGCTGGTGAGGCTGGTGGCCCCTCCTGGCGTTCACAGTGGGAAGCGTGAGGCCAGGGCCAGGAGGGGTGGAGGGCATGTTCACTGTGAGGGCTTCTGTCCTTGGGCTGCCCTGGGCCCGCTGAGCTGAGCTGGGGCCTGGCCACCAACGAGAAGCAGGGCAGGAGGTGGGCTGCAGGGTGTTCCTGTCCCCGACGTGGCTGCCGAGCTAACCAGGGGGGACGTGCTGGCCGCCCT